GAGGATCTTGGAATGAGTGAACTTTGCTGTTCTTAATGTGTTACTAGTTGTTGCGATATTAGGAGGTAGGGGCGCGGGGTTTTTACGGAAGGGGGGGGGGGGGATTTTGAGATTTTTCTCTCGAAACTCTCTAGCGAATCCGAAAACTCCACTGGATAAATTATTTGAATAAATCTTCAAGTAAAATAGAAGGAACTTAATTAGATTTTTAACTTGACTATTCATCTACTCACCTTAAAGAATACTTACAATTCATTCCATCCAATTGCATCAAGAGTTAATAATAATGACAATAAAAACCATTAAACTCATAAAAACAAAATTGCTCATTTAAAACTCTAATTTTCTCAAAATCCTTTCAGCCCATTCCTTCCACATCATTTCATACTTTAAAGAAATTCTACATTCAAATCAAAGTCGCCACTTTTGTCATTCTTTTAATCGCGACAAAAGCTTTTTAAATCCGATGCTCATTAAAATGCATTGAAAATATGAATATTGTATGGAATAAGAGTGAGCAGACCAATTATTATGGATATACGCGGCATTTCATGTGAGCATTTACATTTGTTGTCAACAGGGCAAAAATAAATAGGTTAAATCAGCTTATGCTTGAATTGTAAAAATCAATAATCAGCAACAGTTATTGAAATTGAAAGGAAAGTTTGTATGAATATTTTAGCTATGCTGATGTGAAAGGAGGGTTTGGTATATTTTTGAGGTTAAGTGGACAATATTTTTTTATTTATGGACACTTTGCGAAGAGAATGATGTTTAAGAATTCCATTTTATGATGGAAATTGTAAGTTCACAACTTCTTACCTTAAGCAAAGGGCCGTTTCCTTATGACGCTCAGAAGGGGGAGGGGGTTAGCAAGAAAAGAACAGTAGAAATTCCAGAAAACTTATTGATAGTTTTTTGAAAAATGACCGTTAATTTCGGACGTCATAAGTGAACGAACACAAAATTTGATTGCTCTTTTTAGTAAAATCCAGCCAAAGTGACAATAAATACATTTCACACTACTAATAAAATTCCTCAAGCTATTATATCCGTCCTCCACTAACGCATTTCCTTCCTTTGTAATCTCAAATCATTGTCGACTATCACACAATATAAAACCAAAAATTATTTCAGCACAGTTAATCCAAAAATGCCTAAGCTCCACCAACATCAAGTCTCTAATTTCTCTCATACAAAATTCTAATGAACAAAATAAATATTAAATCTGAGATGCTTTTGTCTGCGACTTTTTTTTCTCGTGTGAAGCATATCCGTTGCCACTGGGCATTGTGGATGAGCTGCTTTTCAAGCTCATTTAAACGTTATAGCGGAAATATAAAAGGAAAATGATGTTAATTGGCAATTTGCGTCAATATTTGACCATGCTTTAGCACCTGCTTTAATAATTGCATTCATAATGCTGTATAGGATGTTTTGCGAAGTGGAAAAACCATTCATTGCGTCTCTGCAGAGCATTTGACTTTGAATAAGAGGATTATCGCTATTGTTGTGTTTGCTGTTAGCTTTCAATAGAATCACGAAGTTTTTGGGTTTTTTTAATCCCATAAGTGGTCATTAAATCAGGACCATCGAGCTCGATAATCGGTAATTTGATGTAATGGATGATGTGTGAATGAAATGAGAAGGAAAATCGACTTTATGTTCACGATCAAAAATTGATGATGAAGCTGAATTTAGAAGATGATGTTGAGCTTATGTTTTGTAGGGTTAGACTTGGTTGAAATGAAACAGCTCTTATCAAAGCGCGTGTACACTTTTAAAAACTTTTTGCAGTGCAAATTTTTGCGGGAAAAATCCAAAATATTAATTTTTACACAACAAACAATTTTTATCAGCAAATTCAAACGAATGAAAAGAATTTAAAAGCAATTCTGGTTGCTTGATGGCTTTCCCAAACCATAAATTTGAAATCCACACCCAATCCACCCTCATCAACCCAACTTATCTCTCCAAAAGACATTACATAAATAATCAAAAAAAAAAGAAGAAAATCTTAAAAAATCTCCAAAAAAATTGTTGAAAAGTCCATAACAACATCCTTTTAATAGTCACTTAATCATCAAAATGAATCGGATATTATCCTCATTTTAACATTTGATAACTGCTGATAGACACAAACACTTCTAGGGCAGATAACTGTTGAAATAAAAGAATTGCTCTCATAAATCAATTAGATAAGGATTCAATATCCATTACTGCTTATTTTTATATGACATCCATTTTTTCAGTATGAAGCAGTTTGTTGTAATCTTCAGGCAATCATATTCTTGAGATTTACAGTTATAAATATAAGGTTGCTAATTTTATGGTATGGAACGGGAAAGGAGGATGAAAATGTTGTGATTCAAAATGAAAGGAACATGCCAAATGGCTTAAGGACTTGAGAGCGAGACTCATATTATCCAGAGTATAATCATTATTTTAAAAATATGTGCGATAAAATTAATGATAATTGTTGTAAATATCAGAAATTGGGGTTTGGTGAAAAGTTTTTTTGTAAAGTTTATTGTTTTAATTTTTGTGTTTTGAATACTGTTGTTTTTGTAAAGATGAAGTGGGTATGGAAATTGTTAAAAATGAAGCACGTAAAGCTTTATCAAATTTATTGATATATTAAATCTTTTTTCATTTGAACGATAAGAAAAATTGTATATAAACTTTTAACAGATCTTCTGAAGTGGCTCGGTGTCGGAATTGTTTTATAGTACGGTACAATGCAGACTTAGTGCTTATGGGTTCGAGATTGGTTATGAGAATTTTTTGACGAGTTTTGATCCATATGGATTTTAATTGAATAAACTACCTTCCCTTTTAGGGTCCAAGCAGGAATATCTTCAAAGGAATAGTTCTAGCCCTACTAAAAACTGTCTCCTTACTCGTTAAACTCTCATTAGCACCTCTGGAAAACAATGGATCTGAATCCCTACTTACCTCCATGCTTGAGGCGCACGTGGACCCATTGCCGCGCTTAGAGATCGTTGAAGAAAAAATATTGAATTTAAATGGTTTTTAGGATTCGAGATCAACCAAATCATTCTGTCAAATGAAAAACTTCCTCTCGACAATTCACTCACATATTTCAACAATGACTTTATATCTTCAACAGTTTCCCATTTTATGGCAAAAGACTGCTTATCAAATCAAAACTCATATTTTCATTTTACTTTTGTTGAAAACAATTGGAAGTTAACTCAGTTGCATTAAAAAATTGCAAACTTTATGCCATATATTCATCTATTTTTTTTTCTTCTGCACCATACAAAAGCTCTTTTCAAGCTTTTGATTCTTTCCTTCCGAAAGCTCATTTCCCGTTGAAAATAAATGAATTCAGGAGCAAACAAAAGCGTGAAAAGGTCTCACAATTCTTTTTAAAGTGGAAGTGAATTTTAACATTTTATCTTTCACACAGAACTTTTATGCTCCCACTTAAAATTAATAGCAAGCATTAAACAAAAGATTGCACAATACAAAAAAAAGAACCATATTAACTGATTGATGTGCATGTGATATAGCTAAAAGCAATTTAATTTCCGGTTTAATATCGTTTTACTTTTGGATGTAAAAAGGATTTCAAGTCTAGCAAATGAGAGTCTTTTATGGCTGAAAAATTATCAGATAAAGTTAAAATTTATTTAAACACGGTCTATTTGAGCATGAGCCGGCTCGAGCCTCAGGAATAATTTACCACAAAAAGAAAATTTCCACATTTTAATAAATTAAAAAAAAAAGTTTCACGCTCTGAATTTTTACTCAACCTTTTTAAAAATGAAATTTTCATTATTTTTTTTTTTTAAAAAAAGTCACCCTCTTGCCTTGTTATATAACATAATAGCATTGACCTTGACTTCAAAGTGCTAAACTTTTCTTTTCTTATTTTTGTAAAAAAAACTTTTCTTAAAAAAATATTCATTTTGACACTTATTGGGGTCGTAACGAGAAAACTTCATGAAACAAAAAGTTCGACTTACTACACCTGACGTTGACAATTTATAGTCATGTTTCGGATTCTTGATGTTGATTCGGGTGTGAAAGTCACTGTGAGATAAGGATGTGTGTGACTTTATGATAAATATTGCTGTCTGATGTTTATGGTTGGTGCATTTTGTTAATGATTTTCTAAGAGTTTTTTGTGCATTTATAGCGATGCTTCTATTGCTGTTTGAGATATTTGTTGGATAAGATATTATTTGAAATTATGAAGTTTGAAAAAGAACAAATTTGAAAATTTCTGGATTCGAACTGACGACCTTCGAGTGTCAGACCTTCGAATGGTTCCAAAATTGAGCTCAGTTCTTTACCCATTCGACCAGCAAGGCACATTGATGTTTTAAAAAAATTTGGATTAAGCTAGTCCTGATTAAGTTTTTACCTGAATAGGAAATAAAAATGTCACAATTACAAATTATTCAATCTTCAACTAAGGTTTACACAAAACCAAATAACAATTATTTTAAAAATATAATTCAAACTTACAATCTATTCATTCCAATTTCTATCTCACATCCAAACACAAATATCCAAAATCTCGAACAATGCTAAAATAAATATCAGACAAAATTAAAAACTCAACCAAAAACAACAACGAAAAATTTTATTCAAATTTTAATTAAAAAGAGCAAATAAAATATTGATCATGTTGCAGATATGCAATAATTTTATTTGCAATAAAAGATTTTATTCTCGATTCGAAACAATTGTGAATAAATTTAGCGTCGAGAAATTAAAAGGAATTGGAATAATTGTAGCATACAGCATTTCCAGATGAAAAAGTTCATTAAAATGCTGCATTTCTGTAAAGGAATGGAAAAATTCAATTGGAAAAAATCTCATTTCCAATTGTAAGCATCATAAGTGACACAAGGAAATTATTTTAATTGAAATTCACACTTTTCGACGTGCTGAATGAAGACGGGACAAACTTTTTCATTCTCTTTCCGCCTCTTGTTGCTCATAAAATTTTAATATTTCATTCACAGACAATTCACTTAGTTCCTTATGTAAAAAAATGTCTACAACGCCAACTTCTATGTCCGCCACAGTCGATCCACATTCGGCACTGCTAGCACAACGTAGATCGGAATGTGAGGATTACATGAGAGGTCTTACGGTTCAGTATGATCCAGGTGAGAATGAATTTTATTTATTTATATATTATGTATGAGATGATGATGAAATGGTGAGGAAGGATGAGCGCGATTTTCTCGAAGGTAAAGCAAATTTTAAGGTTATAAGCAGAACCTAGCTGGCTCCAAATCTGCCGTATATAGGTTGTGGATCATAAAAAATCAAACACAATCAAAAATTACTTTTTTGAGAAAACCACGCTCACCACATAACCTCAAATAAATTAATTCAACTTAATTCCTAACCGTCATACCTTATTCTATAATTTAAAATGATGAAATGCCACAGGGACATATTGTGAAGCACACTTTGATGGTTGGAGTTGTATACCATTGACGTTAGCTGGTGAAATTGCTCGAATACCCTGCCCGCCCATGCTCGAATTCGACACATCAAGTAAGATGATTGATATTCAAGACGAAGATGTCATATTTTTGATGTAAAACTCATTTTCTTTCTTTCTCAAGGATTTGCACACAAAATATGCGAGACTGATGCCAGTTGGTTTCGCCATCCGTTTAATAACAGATCTTGGACAAACTATACGACATGTATAGATGTTCAAGATTTTGAGGTGAGAAAATATTTCTTATTTTTTAACCTTACTTTATATTTATTTATTGATTATTTACGTATGTTCCATTTCCAGTTGAGACGACAAATAAATTTAATTTATATAATAGGATATACAATATCGTTGATCGCAATTCTCCTTTCTATTTCAATTTTCTTCTATTTCAGGTAAATATAAAATTTCCTTTTTTTATCAAACACACGTTTTATTGACATAAATTTGATAGTATTTGTACTATGTCCTATTGATTGAATAACAGCGATAAATGTGGGATGTTAAAGGGGATCAGTTTTGCGTTGTAGAGTGGAAATAATTGGAATGATTGTGTATTGTGGATCAAAGAGTCTATTTTTATTTTGAATTTGGGATTTCTTGTGAAATGTTCTGTTAGGGACCTGCCAGTAGATCCAAAGATTTAAAGTGGGATCAATTAGTGTGTAATCATTGATCGGAATGGCAAATGTCAGTTAATCAATTAGAAATTCGGCAACATGCCAGATTTCAAATTCGATTAACCGTCCAGTGCCTTTCAGGTGACTAATCCTTCTACTTAATTCTGTTTTAAACTATTTTAAAGTTTGAGAAACAAATTTGAGCAAGGCATACTCAAAGTTGCTCAAAATATCAAACTACATCATTTAAATTCGCCTTATTCCCCCAACTCTTCAGCAACTCCAAACTTAATCTATGTTTAATCCATTTAAATCATTTATACATCTACATCATACTCATGAGAAGATAACATTAACTCAAACTAGCTTCTAACTACAGAACTCAACACGCAATGCAATTCTATTCATTATAAATTATGTCATGTCGGTCATAAAAATTTAATTAAGCTCTGCTGAAATGTTTATTGACCAATTGGTATAGAATCAATCAAAAAAAGAATGCATGCATTGTGTAATTTCATGTAAATGTGTTGAATATTCTCTTGTTGAAAATTTCCTTGTCAACAAAAATTACATCCATTTCTAATTCAACTAATGCAATCGGATATGAGTGAAAATTCTTCTTGGATTAGTTTTCCTCAAGAATATAATTTTCTACTCTATGCATGCCCAATCGTTGTACCGGGAAATGAAGATATTGAAGCTGAAAGAATGAAGATGAGGGAAAAGAAAAGATGAAGAAATTTTTTATGATTGAATCATAACATTATTCGAAACTAGTAGGAATTTCTTTTGTTATTGCATGAGACTGAAGTGCATTGAAGATATTTTTAGATTATAACTATCTTTAAGAATGTGGAATTCTATGATACAAGTTGAAGATCACGTTTAAGGTCAACAATACTTTGTATTTTGATGTAGGTGTGCTTTGTTGCATGCAACAGTATGGCTTTAGATATGTTTTTAAAGATATATGAACTTTAACTATCTGGAATAGCTCTAGCGTAATTTTTTAAGGGAAAATTCATATTTGCACAAGAATTGAACCTTGATTTTTTATGAATTGCCTGTTGTGTCTTGTTAAATAATTTCCCGGTTATGATCCAGACAACTAAAGCTACATTAAAGAGTTGCGAGGCTAGAAAGAGCTCTAACATTACTTAAACGCTCTGGTTACGTTTAAAGCTCTGGAACCTAAAGTCCCATCTGAATCACTCTTTTGATTACACTCCTGTTAAACATATTATTAGAGCTTTCTATACTAAGTGAGCTGAAGTGGCTCGGTTGAGGAATGGTTTAGTACTTCGGTACTTAGGTGTAGGTTTGAGTGCAGTGGTTTGGCGAATTCTCACTCGTTAAATTCTCATTAGCTGCGAATCACCCTAGTGCACTTCTGGATTACAATGTATCTGAATAGGTAAAGGTTTTTTTGTTATGCTTAAAACAAGTATTAAACATTTCCTGACTCTAAAATTGAAGCTACATAGATCCAATGAGTCCGGAGTGTGTTAGGTGGATTTTTTGATGAAGAGGGTTACCCTTTGAAGTCAAGAGAAGGTCAGATAGAGACAATTTTAACTCTTAAAACGGAGGAACCGAATTGTCTAATTTTTTATATTCATGAAACCAATTCGATTACCTTAATTCCAATATAAAATCCTACAAAGAGTCCACTCTCTTAACATGTGAATCAACATCACAAAATGAACAGCACATACAATTTTCTTTCTAAAAAAATCAACACCAAGAATATTCTTTCTGCTTGTGGAAGTAAAGGAAATAATATAAGTATGTTCATGCTAAACTTTTCCAATATCTTCTTGTTCGTATGCTGTTTGGGTTGCAAAGATTATTAAATTCCATCCATACAACTATTACTCCTATTACTAGGAGCTACTAGGCTATTACTTTATCTTTCTTACATGGAAGTAATCAGGGGAAAGGAGTTCTAAAAAAGTTTGAAGCTCTTAAAGGCTGTTATGCAAAGTCGGTTTCCCTCAACATGGAATATTTCTAGTTGCACCCCTGCTTTGTGTACAATAAGGCTCAAACCAAAATATCATTATTAACGAATAAAATGCCAAAGATGCCAGCCTTTAATAATCAAATAAAGTCATTTGAATGCAACAGAAATAAATAATTTATTGGCCATAATCTGCTGTTCTATTTTTGTAAATTTGTCACACAAATTCTCATTCAATCCAAATCAAAGGAAAATTCTTTTTCTGGGTTATGTGCAGAATCAAAATAGATGAAATCAAATCAGACGTGCCATTAAGAGCTAAATTGAAGATTTTTTTTTCTATGTTATACAATTTCTGATATTCATTGAACCTCGAAGATGGGGTACAAGAGCAAAAAGTATCGACAAAACCTTAAAGATCTACTGCCACATTGAATAGCAAAATTGATTCTATTATTGAATGTCAAAAGAAGAGGAAGAAAGGAAAAGGAACGGAAATATGTTAATAATCCAAATGGAAGAAATGAAGAATCTTTTTTTTGATGATTTGCCTTATTTGAAAGGCTAAACGGTTTCTTATTTTTATGCAAATGATATTGCCTCGTTATTTCCTTCGGAAATGATTGATTCCCTAGAATTTTCTTGAATATCATAAGCTGTTTTGAAGGAGAAGAATATGGATTTATTTTTGATGAAATTGATGATTTTTTGATAAATATTATTGTTGCATGGAATTGGAGAGTCATCTTAAAAATAGGCATTTTAAGGCTAGGTCTTGTTGATACTCAACTTTTGTTAAATTTGTAGGTTAAAAATTGAAATTTCAGGAAACTTAATATTGAGTCTCAATTCTAATAAAAGGTTTAACTCTCATAAGAGGTCGTTCACTTATTACGTCCATCAAAAAACCTGATTTCGAGCCCCCCTCCCCCCCTCTGTCTCAAAAATTCTATAGAAAAAAAATCTCCATTGTTTGAACTATCACAAAATCCTAGACCCCCCCCCCCCCCCCCCGTAAATGTCGGACGTCATAAATGAACGGCCCCTAATTTGATTTTCAAGATAAATTGAAGATTATTACTGCTTGAAATACAACGGAAGTAAATTTATTAAATCATTCAGTATTGCCCAACAAGATCAATAGCAAATCTGGACTTAAATGAAGTTAAGTTAATTCACAACAATCTGATAAGAAGTCGTTCACTTATGGCGATAACAAAGGGAAGTGCTATGAAGCAACTGTTTCTATTCCAAATAACTTTTTGGAAGTATTTTAAATACTTCAAATTTTATAGAAAACCATAGAACGCAATGGAAGGGAAATGGATCTAAATTGGTCGTTTCTTAAAATCCTTAATATATGAACAAATGAAGCTGTGATTCCAACTAGTTGAAAAACTTCCCAGGCCGTACTCTCACTCACTGCAGTTTAAAACGTTTAAGGGGGGGACAAGACTCTCTTAGCTACGCGCCTGTAGCTTCCTCTTCTTTTGCCTTTAAATCCTTTTCAAAACACAGAACCAGACATGTTAAAAATCCGAATCTGCGTCAATAGAATCAAATCAAACAAACACTCTCAAATGCTTCCAAAAACATATTCTAAAATTCGTCCAATTCGCATTCTGTGAACAATTGGCAACATACATTCTTTATTTATTCAATTTTGCTGATTCGAAAATTCATTCAAATAAAAAAATTCCGAAAGGAACCTCAAGAAAAGTCCTCAAAAAAAACAGCTTATTCAAAAGTATTTTCTTATTTTGAGAACTCAATTCACTCGAAATAATAAGTTTCAACCTTGCCATTGAGTGAATTCATTTTACATTCAATTCCATTCACTTGCGCGACAAAAAAGCACCTCATTCCTAAGAAAAACCTTAAGACATATTTTTGTTGTATATTGAATGCCATAAATCGATTAAGTATACTTTGTTATGCATAATTCTGGAATGAATTCGACTTTTTTTTTTACCAAAAGCATGAAAAAAATGTTTGAATAGAAAGGAGAATGAATAATGGCATGCATTACTAATTTTCCTTCTGTAGCTGTAAATAGAACTTTTTTTCTTTGCTTTGTGAGAAAATATTGAACATGTGCAAATTATGTACATGCTTTATATACAGTACAGTATAGCGTTACAAACGAGATTGACAGCTATCGATTAATGATTAAAGATATTTTTTACTTACGCTTATTTTGGAAGTTGTAGGCAGATGTGGAAACAAAATGCGAAAACATGAGTAGAATGCCCATCTGTTGTATTCTCATGAGGATGGTCCTCGATTTTTTTTTTTTTGATAAATCTGACATGTCTTGGTCATTTTGAGAATGTGTGATAGAAGTTTTGCTGCTCAAAGAATGTGATTCATCAGTGTTTTGACAACATTACTGATGACGATGATTTTTTTTGTCGTCGGCAAATGACAAGTGGTGTGAATATCAAACGTACAGCTAGATTAAGGGAGCTCTCATCAAGAGTTTTTTTTAATGAAGAGCTTTGAATGAATAAAATTCGAAATTCTTTTCATGATTAATATTTTTATTGGTTTCCAAAGACAATTATTGTTATATGCTTTATATATTAAAAGTGTGCCTATAAAAATTCAAAATTTCTCAATACTTTCATGGATTTTCTTTGCCTATGAAATGTAGAAAGTTTTGAATCAATTTGTCAACTTTTAAGCAGCCATTGTGCTGTTGTATTCCAACGTTCCGTCATCTGCTGCGTCTGAATATTCATATTCAGGAGCATAAGTTGAAGTTTGATCTTCTATTTGCTCGGTGGTAGGGATTAGGGTTGAGCCGTCTATTGTAGTATCTTCTAGAGTGGGATTTGATGACTCTGAAGTGGGTTCTTGTGTTGTATCTGGTTCAGACAAAGTTGTAGCTTCAGTTGGAGCATCAGTGGTAGTTGACTGTTCTGTCGGTGCATTTGTAGGAGCTTCAGTTGGTGCATCTGTAGGAGCTTCAGTTGGTAATTCTGTCGGTGCATCTGTAGGTGCATCTGTAGGAGCTTCAGTTGGGACATTTGTTGTAGGAGCATCAGTAGTTCCACCATTTCCTTCATGAGAATTTTCGCTACATTTTTCATAGACTTCCTTAAAGTTTTCATAATTGTTATTGCTTGCTTTTATAACCCCAATGCAATTGCGAAATATTAATGGTGGACTTTCAACAATCGGTCGTAAATTAGTTTGAACAGTCAAGGGTAAATACATCGAATAAAATTGTAGATTGTTGGCATTCTAGAAATATAAAAGAGAATAAATTGAGTTGGATATGGTTTGTTATGTCGATTGAGGTTAGGGCGTTTCTTTTATAAACTCTATCAAAACTTTCTTATCAAATTAACTGTTCTTTGAAATCTAGGATGTCCAACACATTGAAGACTTTTTAATCATAATTTTAAAGATTTGAATTAGATTTGTAATTAAAGTTAAGTTCTGAAATTCGAATTTTACTTTCGAAACACAAACTTTAACTTTCGAAATTCGAATTTCACTTTCGAAAAACAAACTTTAACTTTCGAAATAAAAACTTTAACTTTCGAAACTGAAAATTTAATCTTTAAAAGCAACAGAGACTTGTTTTGAGAAAAGTGCACTCCAATAAAGCAGGAATAAATAAATAAAAGCAGTAGCAATAGAAGTAAAAATTGCAATAAAATCGAATGAATTGAAAAGCAAGAAGAAAATAATAAAACAGAAACAAGGAATTGAACAGAAAGAAATAAAAAACTGCAATAATTTCTTATCTCAATAATTTTTTTACCGATTGAATGCACTCGGATGTTGCAGTTCGCCCAGCAACGGATGTCTGTCCATTAATACAAGCATTCAATTGTTGCAATATGAAATTCACATTATCTCTGATAACTCCCAACCATGTGCTTGTTGATGGTATGACTACAGTTATACTCGTTGTTCGTTCATCAAGACAATATGAATATTTTCCAGTGAGTGCATTAAGACCTTGTTGCGACTCCGACACCAATTCGTTTAAGCATGAATCATAATGACGTACAAATGACTGTCTCAATAAATTCAATATCGCATCACGATATTGTGAATCTTTAGCGAAAGCACTATTAGTCTCATTTGTGAACAGATTGACAATTGCATCCCTCATACTATCAAATGACGTCTCGAAGAATGTCTGATTGTAAACTTTTGATGTTACAACGTCAGCAAAGGCGAGAATCTGTGGCAATTGTTCTCGATCGAATCGAGGTCGTACAATTGTGTCATCATAAGTTGACTGAACACGTTGAATGAATTTACTAAATTCAGTCTGTGCTGTTTGACGATAAGACACAACCGATGACAATAATGTGTTTCGGACTCGATTATAACTATCAACAAAGTTATAAAGCGATGTGTTACGTTTTAAATTATCTTTTGTATACGAACGGTCCAGGATATCGTACATTGAACCATAAGCACCAGTAAGACGAGCTGTGTCTCTAACTGACGAGAGAAAGAGAAGATATGAATTACGAAGTTGTGTGAGTGATGTGATAAAATTATCTGTCCGATTATTATTAATAAAATCGTCAATCAACTTTGGTGTCAACAAAAGACTCGAATTAGCTCGGATTTGTGCGACTCTCAGGGATATTTCCTCGACACCAGCTAGAACGTTTACTGAATATTTTTTAATTCGATTAAGGGAACTGCTAAGTGTTTGCATAATTGATGGATTTGTAATATCTTCCAATTTTCTAAGTTCTCCTGTTGAATTTGATAAAATCTCCAATTGAGTCATATATGTTGCGTGATAAGTTCTCAAACGTGATAGATGCCAATTTTCATTGTTTATACGACTTGCTGCTGCAAAACCGAGCTCACTAAAAAACGTAATAGGAGCTGAACGTAATTGACTGGCAATTGAATTTAAGGCAATTACGGATGACTGTGTTGTCGGGTCATTTTGTACGACATTTGTGCGAGTTGATGCTGTCAAAATTGCTTGAATAGCCGCATTAATTTCGTAAGAACGATCATAAATCTCATATCCAAACTGTAAATCTGTATCTAAGCTCCAAAAGGCTAATGAAGTCTATTCAGAAAAATAGAAAAAAATAAGTTATAAAAATGTAAGTTAGTTCCATTCATGAATGGAAATGGCGTATTTGAAATGTGTGTGAAATGTTTAATTGAATGAGTTGAAGGATTTCGTGAGTAAAAGTTTTATGGAGTTTTGTTAAAGTGTTTTATAAGGGTGCTGTAGTGCTGGTGCTTGTTTTGAAGTGTTAGACTAGAATAATTTTAAATATCTATTAGATAAATGAGTGTCCGTTGCTAATCTTGATATAAAGGATTAAGCATTGTTAAAACTGAACAGGTGTAAAAAATGATCTTAAAATAATCCTAGCTTCATTCGTGCACCAAAGCAGAAATTGTTAAAACTTCGTGAAATTTTGAATAATTTTCTGGACACAATTCGAAACCCATCAGACAATGGCTTTATTTTGTAAACGTGTAAATTATCTTGACAATCCACAGACGTCTAATAACTAGTCGAACTTGTAAAGGTATGAAATTTCTTTTGAAGTCAAGGTTTTCATTTCTTAATGCACTTATTTCACTTAATATACACCTTATCTAGCCGCGTTAATTGCACTCTATTTATTTATCTTAAAACTTCTCATGAACACTTCAATTAAGCAATAAAATGAAATCTGAACTTAAAACTTCCATTTTTCATTTAAATATATTCAAATTATCTTATGAACATAATTATGTAGCTGCCAAATCCTAATTGACTACAAATTCACTATTCAAAAATTATTCTCGACCAACAATGTCCTTCAAATTAATTTGTCCCATAAAACACACCTTCAATCTCAAAATAGTAGCACAAATTAAACGATGCATGAGACACAGCCACAAAATGAGCATCTAGCATCTCACAATTACTAAAGAATGGCACTGAAAATTGGTAATACGTGTGGGTGAATAAAAATTCATTTCATGCTTTGCAGCATTTAATTTTCCCCAAAAAAAGCGAGCAGAAGAAAAACTTACACCAAATAAACCTGCTGTGAAAAGGAAAGTTATAAAACACTTCGTTTCAATTTTCATCGTCAATGCACTTTTTTTCTCGACTAAGCTCACCGAAATACCTTTTTCCGAACAAGTCGTACAATAAATGGCATTTGTCGTTCAATAATCGGAAGCTTTTATAGCTTGTCTGTACGAATGTTATCTATTAAATACTTGCAAAGTTTTATTTATCCACTTGTTGATATTATTTGCTTATAAAAATTTCACTGGAAGTACTTAAACTCAACGACTGATGAATTTACAATGAACCGAGCTTATCAGCAGCTTCAGTCGGTGTTGAAGGAGAAAAATTGTCAATAATTTGAATTGAGGACTTTAATGGGGGAATTCTTTTAATTACTGGTAAATGTTCTCTTGATGACTTCAGAGAACCTTAAAGTGCTATCCAAGTGTCTTTGGATAGCTGCTTTTATGGAAAAATTGAAGGATTTCTTAGATTTTTTAAAATGAATTAGGCTCAGTCATAATTAAGTGGAGCACTAGACTGATAAAGTACATTGAATCTATTTGAGTAGCATTAATGAGAATGTGACGAAGTTTTATTGGATCTAGTTAATTAGAATGATAATGAGAGTTATTTTTAGACTTAAAGGTGTTCATTAGCTTTTTATCACTTCGAAAGAAAAATGCCGCAGAAAATGTCACTACTGGGACAGAACCACAAGTTTGTTACCCCGCCCTTGGTTGAAATCCGCAAGGGAAAAGACGCCCTGGAACTCTAAAAGCTACTTGGCGCAGAACAGTGATGAAAAAATGTCAGTTTAATGTGCTGACAGAGATATTACACAAACAGAGTGACAGAGCCAGCAACAGAGTCAGATGAAAAGCTTTTTGTTGTAACCTAAGCTTCACATAGGAACATGGTTACAGAAAGATTGAGTTTTATTGACTAATGTTAGCACAACCAATGTCTTTATGGAAATTCAGCTTGATATTTTTGAAATGTTCCTCATTCCCTACATTCCGATCCGATCCTCTGAATTTCTAAATGTCATTCAATAAAAACCAGAACACTTTGCCTCAACATCCTTTCTAAATTTCCATCCCTATCTACAAAACTAAGTATAGTAATGCGAATTTGATGTTTTGTTGGATCTTAATACGATACAAAGTAATTTTTAACATCAACAAACATTTCTCAGGAAAACCTTCTTCAGTTATTGTCAATTCGTGACATTTTCTGTCGTAAACATCCACATCACCCATCCGACAGTCATCAAAATATCTTTAAATGTGCCAATAAATGAGAAATTCTATCATTATTTCCTGAATACTTTTTGATTGTCATTTTTCTTCCTATTTATAGACGTCGAGTTTCTTCTTATTTTGGCATTTAACATCTTGAAAGCATATTTATGCTAAATATTAAGCACGAAATAACACAAATATTGGAGAGGAAGAATCATTTTGTTATCACAGATTTTTTTATTTCAATTTTCCTACGTAGCTGTGTGTCTGGTAATGATTTTGTTGGCAAAATTACAAAAAATTCCCGTTTGGTCACGTAAATTTTTTCAGATACTACACAGCAGAGAGAGTTTCTAATTGAGCACAAAAAGAAAGTTTTTCGAAGAATTTTTCAATTGAAATTTCGTTTGGTTTATGGCAAAACTTTTAAATTGGTTCTTTTGTGTAGCTCGCTTTGTCCATTTTAATTTCCTATAAAATTTTAGAAGTGCTTTGAATCTTGATTTTCTTAAATTGTGCAATTCAAAAAGATTTAAAGCTTAATAAACCATTCAGAAGTGCACAATTCATCCTCTTCTTATAAATAAATGAAGAATTTCATTGCATTTAACATCTACGCTCCATTTCTTAGTAGAAATAACATATTTACTTAGTCCAATTTAGAAACTTCAAATAAATCATAGAAATTGATTATTTGTTTAAAACTATGTTACGAGTGTGTTTTATCTTCGGAAGAAAATTTCATTTTAAAACTTTTTTGCTTATATATGTACGAAAACTGTACTGGGAGGGGGGTTATGCCTTTATGACGTCCAATACTTTGAAAGAAAGACTAGATTTTAATATTGAGGTTACATAATATGAACGTAATTTAAATTTTACATTCCTTAAAATATGTCATCAACATGCCTCAACCTTAGTCGCACTTACAAGATGCCAAAATCATGATTATAGGATTGAGTGCTTCAGATAATTCCTAAGCTAAGCGCGTTTGGGACACGGAGCATAAATAAAATCTATCTGAGACTAGAGAAGGATACAGTAACCTTGTCTGTATCCTGAGCCATAATAGTAATTTTAATGTGTGAAGGGCCCAGCTTGCGATTCAAATTAGAACAGAATCTATTGTACCACACCCTTTAGACCTACAGTTTATAGTGGGATCCGAACCACTTGCAAGCTCTGCATATTGCGAAGACACGAGTACGTCATAAGACCTGATGTACCCTGCAATGTACCCAGTCACAATTCGTGTGCGCAAGACGCCATAAGGAAGTCATCCAGATGCTAGTATATCCTTGTTATCCTAGCAAAGGAGGCACATTCTGTGCCAAAGGCATCAATGCTACACCCATCCAACACACGAACCGAGATTCGAAACTGAAATGGTGAAATAGAAAAAGAGCTTCGAATATTAGACATGGCCTGGGATTGAACCTAGGACCTTTAGCACGGAAGGCCAACGATCTACAATTTAGGCCACTAATGCAATATATTAAGTTCATTTTTCAAGCTTAGTAAGGCTCATTTTTGTTTTACATTACATAACATCCAAATGAACCTATTAAATGATCAAAAACTCTTCCTTGAGTAATTTTCATCTAAGAAAATAAGAAGAAGCAAAATATTTTCATCTCCATTGAGTACTTCATGTTTTGAATGAAAAGAATAAAAAATTCCTTTTTTTCGTACATAATAAAAATACGAAATCATTATTTTTTTCTTCGTGTTGCTTCTTTCATCATCATGATGACGTCAAAATGAAGAGCATTTTCTCACAAATTACTCAAGTGGTTTGCTTCATATCTTTTTTCTGTCTTCGTCATTTCGCTCGTCGAGTGAATTGTAAACAATATTTTTAAAAAGTTACAAGAAGTAAAAGTTATAAAGTTAATTATCATTCATAACGACTGATGACATTCTCATTTTATATAACTTGGTTTCAGGGTTGGTGAAATAGCTTCACATTTCCTAAAATTCTTCTTGTCCATCCTTCTTCTTGTTTCAAGTCACAAGTCCCTTTCTGAGAGCATATTCGGATGGTTTTGAAAGCCTGAACGATCTCATTTTTGAATATTTTCAAACTATCCGATTCCAACATCCCTGAATCCACTTCCCTCCATTTCCCCAAATAATTCAGCAATTCAACACAATTGAAATTTAATCTATTCAATTTGGCACGTTGCCTGCGTGGTTGTTATTTTAAAAAGTGGAATTTTTAATCAACTTACAATAAATTCGTGCTAGCTCATAAGCACTCAATGTGCCGCAACAGAAAACGCACATAAATTCAATTGCACTTCAGTTTTAATTAGATTTTCAATTTTTAATGACATCAACACTGTGGTTAATTGACTAGTTGCGGTAGTGCTTTGAAAATGAAATGAAAAGCTTTTAAAGCTGATTTAATCAGGTCTTTTGTGGATGGGAAAATATGATTCTCATCCTTTTGTGTTGTTTTAATGACTTGTTTTTATTTTGCTGACTTTGAGAGTCTGTCTGTCTGAGTGTTGCTGATTTAAGAGATTGTTTTGCTCAATTGATTTATTTTGGAGCATTTTAGTTGTGTTTTTGTGGCTGTAGACTAGAATTTTGGAGGATTATTGTGGTGTGTGAGGTTTGAAAATTTCTGAATAAGTCAGCAGTTTTGAAAATTTATTACAAAGCATTAAACAAATTGAAATTTACGATAATTGGTTCTATTTTTTGAATTTGGTATTAAAAGTTATTTTGAATTGTTCATGCGTGAACTAAATTCAAGAATTTGTTTGTTAAAATTATTCAAAAAAATTGGTTCGTGACAGTTCTTCAAAAATCAAAACATTCGCTTTAAAATGACATCCATAAAGAGCCTAGGGATATAAAATAAAAATGCAATTTCATCGTTTTTACTATGTCCTATACCCCGAAGCTATTTTTTTATTTTCATTATTTGTTTTCTTCATCGTTTTATTGTCTCTTTATGTGAGGTTTTATTATTGCTGTTCTGCTATCAAAGCGCTCATTTGTCAATCATTGTATGCATTGGCTTTTTTCTATCCTCATCATTGTCCATTCACTTGTTAACTTTTCATATACATCGCTTTTTGTATTGACTTATTGAACATGGAAGTTTTACAAAAAGTGGTGATTGAATTGATGGCGTTGAATGCAGACTAAAGCTTTTGAGTTATTCATGCAACTAGCTTTTGTACTTTGTTTGATTTAATAATTGTTAACACAACGTGTTTCAATTTTTTGTTTAGATTTTAAAATTATGCATTAAAATGTTTAAAATTCAATGTTCATAAAGTCAAAAATAATCACAGAACTTTAATTAACCTTCAAAATAAACCCACAAAACTGCGGCATCAAGTGCGTCACAATAAACAGACCATTTTAAATTATTCATCACCTGCCTATCTATTAGAAAATATTACATCAGGGACTATTGAATACTTGTAAGGGAGAAGTTAAGCTATAACATGTAGCAGTGGCTTTTCAACGTTCCCTATGGTGAAACTCAATAAATGACGATGCAAAAAAATAATCTAAACTTTTATTTTACTATATTACAGTGTTTAATGAAAGCATTTAACAACCGCTGCTACATTATTGTAACCATAGTGACTAAAACTTTATTCCGATGTTAAAAAAACAACAAGTTCACTTTAAAATATAGCTTTTCACAGGTTTTTTTCATACATAATAACACGATGTTGTGAGAATGTTGAAATATTTTCATTTCATAAAGTTAATTTACATCCAGTCAGTGTCGGCTGGATTTGTTTTGACAAAATGATTATTTTATGTCCCACAACACCCTCAAGTTTTAATTATATTTATGCAACTGCAATTTATTGACAACAGTTTATTTTATTTGCTACAATTTATACTGAACTGCATTATTTCTGCATTGATTATTATGTTGAATGTTTATTTAAAAATGAATGCAAATTGAAATTGTTTTATTCAAACGCAGTAAAGGAAATCAAATTGACATAAATTTACTTTTAACGGAGAAAAATAAATCGAGCTTTTTTAAGGGATCTGTTCTCTTTAAATATGTGATTAAATTGAGTGCAAAATGGTTATTTTTGGTTGGAAACCTGAACAGAATTAACAGCAGACTGACTTTTGGTAATCTATGACATTCCATGTAGCCAAACGTTTGATTCAGTTGCAGTCTCGAGGGTTTATGGTCTGCAGCCTAGACCAAAATTTTAAAACCCACAAAACAGACAAATCTTGAAACTTAACTCTGCGAAACATTTAAAAATTCGACGGAAATAACGAAACCTTGAAATCTTCTCTCAATCTATAAAGCTCATTAAAAAGTTTAAGTTGCTCTTGAAATTCCCTTATGCCCCCTTATGCAAACTTTTTACACCATACATCGATAAATTTCAATTCTTGTTCTTCACATTTCACCTTGCATTTTTTACCATCAGCAATAACTATCAATTATGAAAATTATCGAAACTTTTTCAAGCTATTGAAAACTTTCAGCAGTTTATGTGAGTAAAAAGCATGTTTCTTTGGAATTTTAATTAAATTTGATTGCAAAAAATTACGACAAAGCTAACAAATTGAAGCTGATTGAGAGATTGTTTGGATTTAAGTAATGCTAAGGTGGTGTAGCTTGGAATTAGCTCTCTTTTCATCATTACAGGTTCTAAAGAATATTTCATAGTTTAAAGTAAAAAATCTTTCTATTTATATTAGAATATTTGGCAAGGGCGTTGTCGTTAAGACCTTAATCGATTATAAGGAGTTTTGGTCTAGGGATTTATCGAGTTTAATATACTTATTTGCTTACTCCCCTGTCATGGGCGCATAATGGCCCATCGCTTCGTTCAGAGATCGTCTAAAGACAGCTCTTTCTCACAAAACCTTTTGCCAGTTTGGAATATTAAAGGCTCTTGCGATATTAAAGATTCAATACTATAGTCTCAACAGCTTACTATAATATCTGAAAATTTGATATTTTTCAAATCTGCAACATAGTTCTGCCTAAAATTCTTCAATTGACATAGATAATAATTTTTATGAAATTTAATCCTTTTTAAAATTATATCTCATTCACTATTATTATTTTCAGATCCCTGAAATGTGCTAGAATAACACTCCATATGAATCTATTCGCATCATTTGCTGCAAATAATTTTTTATGGCTCATATGGTATCATGTAATACTCGATACTAATGTCCTGGAAGCAGAAAGTCAGGTAATTCTATATATTTCTCGTAATCAGTCCAAATTATATATGGCTCCTGTAGTCATAATGAATCAAATTGTTTCCGTATGTGCTATAAATGTCCACAAAATAGAAAAATGGGATAGTTATTTTATGAATTATAAATTTATATAAATAGCTCATCGTTCCTTCATTTTTACTACAACTACGTGCTTAATATTTATTTCCAGCGCTTTACCGTTCCCATAAATATTTCTGTGATAAAAGAATCAACGTTTTTCACCTCTCAGTCTTGTGCCTCATAATACACTATATACAATAAATGGATTTCCGCATGAACTATCATATCATGATTTTTTCCTGCAAGTAGACGCTATTAATGTTTCCACTAGCATTTTGCGTATGTTTTTATGGATATAAGAGCATAATGTAATGAAATAGTCGCAAAAAGATAGCAGCTCAGGAAGTCTGATTTGATGAGAAAAATTTTTAAAGCTTATTATTAAAGATTTTTCTTGGCCTTTTTCAGAACGTGACTTTAGTGGTGTCTTCTGCTTCTTTCTTCTTTAAAATGTACTGAGTAGGGAACACTCCCAGATTTAAGCTAAACAATCTTCCTAGTCTGTGATTTAAATCATTCCAAAGATATCCTTGAAGGTTCTGAATCTACAAAATATTCTAGGTTCTGTGTAATTTTTGATGACATCGAGAACTAGACTAAAACTAGACCAGAACCAGACTAGAACTAGACTAGAATTAGACTAGAACTAGACTAAAACTAGACTAGAATTAGACTAGAACTAGACTAGAACTAGACTAGAATTATACTAGAACTAGAACTAGAACTAGACTACAACTAGACTAGAACTAGACTAGAACCAGACTAGAATTAGACTAGAACTAGACTAGAATTAGACTAGAATTAGTCTAGAACTAGACTAGAACTAGACTAGAACTAGACTACTATTAGACTAGAACTAGACCAGAACCAGACTAGAACTAGACTAGAATTAGACTAGAACTAGACAAGAACTAGACTAGAACTAGACTAGAACTAGACTAGAATTAGAATAGAACTAGACAAGAACTAGACTAGAAATATACTAAAACTAGACTAAAAATAGACTAGAATTAGACTAGAACTAGACTAGAACAAGACTAAAACTAGACTAGAATTAGACTAGAACTAGACAAGAACTAGACTAGAACAAGACTAAAAATAGACTAGAATTAGACTAGAACTAGACAAGAACTAGACTAGAACTAGACTAGAACTAGACTAGAATTAGACTAGAGCTAGACTAGAACTAGACTAGAAATATACTAGAATTAGACTAGAACTAGACTACTATTAGACTAGAACTAGACCAGAACCAGACTAGAACTAGACTAGAATTAGACTAGAACTAGACAAGAACTAGACTAGAACTAGACTAGAACTAGACTAGAATTAGACTAGAGCTAGACTAGAACTAGACTAGAAATATACTAGAACTAGACTAGAACTAGACTAGAATTAGACTAGAACTAGACTAGAACTATACTAGAAATATACTAAAACTAGACAAGAACTAGGCTAGAACTAGAATTTGACTGGAAACAGATAAGATTCTGAACTTCTAAGGAATACAAAAAAAAAAGACAAAAACAATTTTATGTAATTAATCAAGTATGTTTTATTTAAGCATACATTGCATATAAAAGCCTCTACAAGTCTTGAATAAGAACTAATAAATACTTCTAAATGCCAAGCCTCAAAAGGCCCAAAAAAAGCTTTCAATTCTTCACTTCTTCTTAAAGACAGCATGAAGAACACTTCTTATATTCATTTTCACAAAACATAATATTTCTGTAGAAGCCTTTAGGTAATAAATCATAATTAGGAAATTTCATGATAGTTAATTTTATAAAATAGGATATAAAAGTTGTAAATTGAATTAAAAATGAATTAAACTTGAATTTAATTATAACTTTTGTTGCCAGATATCAAAACATCATAACAAACTTTCACATTCTCCTCCTACTCATTGTCTGTGGCTGTCATAAGCCTGATATTTTAATCAATACACACTTCTTACTACTTCATCCCTAACATCTATTGAATCTGAATAAAATACTTAAAAGTATACTTAAATTCATGAATGAATGACTTTGATAAATACCTGAAGTTGTTAAAACATAATCAATATCTTCTATTCGAGCGTATAAAGAACGATTTTTACATCCTATTGTATAATAAAAGAAATCGAATAGAATTGAGAAGGTTTTACATTTAAACTTTTTCCTTCATTTTTTTCTAGATGAAAATTTTCCTTTTGGCAATTTACAAAAATACTTTGAAATTTGCATGAAATTAAATATCTTGATGATCTCGAAAGCATTCCTGATTCGATATTTTGAAATTTCATATTTTTGTCAGAGTTGTTGTGAATAAAAATGTTTGAGTTTCATATTTGGGTACAGAGAAACATTTTAAGAGTTTTTGGTTCTTGATTTTATTTTAAATTCTCAAGGAAATGTTCGAAATAAGGCAGGCAAAATAAATTAGGACTTTTAAAAAAGACTATAGACAAATGGAAGACAATCGACTTACTCGACAGAAAGGACCAGACAGTAATAACAAGACTAAGACTTGGACATACTAGACTGACACATGGACATTTAATCGAACGAACAAATGCACCGACCTGTAGCTGCGCGGAACTGCTTACCGTGAAGCATATGCTCAGCTGCAACCTTTACAAGACACTACAGGACAAACATAAAGTTAACATTGACACGTTGAAGAAGGACAGTAAGAATGAATTGCTAAAAGTTGTTGAATACTTGAAAGAATTAGATTTCTATGATAAGATATGACCCTCGCTAGCTATGTTACCACCAAACAAAAAGTTGTAAATAATCAATAACAAAAGGTTTTTTATGCAGTGTGGAAATGTTTAAGTACGTTCCACGCTGCTTTTTCCTTTTACAAATGACAAAATTCAGAAAAGTTAAGGTCCTTTAATTTTAGTTCGGACCATAATAAATATAATAATAATAATAATAATAATGTTCGAAATAATTTTAAATGTGGATATTATTGCTAATATCTTGAATTAAATTAGCATTAAAGTTAATGGCTGCAGATTATTTGATTTTTAATCATTTGTTATCATCTTTAAGATTGAACCTTTTAAGTCAACAGACTAGAAAGTTCTAGAATTTTTCAAGAATCAGGATAAAAAATCTTAATGGTGCCTTTGAAATTCAGAAAAAAAATTGGCAATTCTTTGCTCAACAACAATATTAAGACACCCCTGAACATCCACTCAATTCAAACACTTCTCAGTAAAATTTAATCAACAACTCTGAATTTTGTATTGAATTTCTCATCATTAATGTATTTTAATGTTTTTAGCGCATTTTTGAAACTTGTTTTTAAAAGGTAGCTTAATAATACACTTTGTTCGGCTGTTCGGCTGCTCGGGCGAAGAAAAACTTTTTAATTAGACATCGTAGAGAGCTCGCGTTTGTTTTATTATCTCCGTTACTATCGATTTATCTGCCCATCGAATGCTTAAAAATCTTGAAACAGTGTATTTATGCTATAATTAATGAATTTATGTTTTGTTTTCAGTGTAACCTGCTCAAATTTTATTTTACCTCTATAATTTCAACATTATCTCTATAATTTCAAATTTTTTCCAGCCTCTGTAAAATTTGAATTTCAAAAAACCGTTAAATGATAAACCTTTTCTGTATGGACATTCATTGCTGCAAATTAATAATTAGATAATCAAATACTGATCGCTAACACAAAAATGCGCTTAAGTCCCTCGATCAATAACACGAGGACTTCTGTAATTTTTTCCTACTTTTTGCTTACTCAAATTTCTGTTATGGAAAAATGAAACAAAATGAAATTTAATTCTTCTCTTTTGAACAAAATCATATAGGAACAGATATAATTAGAGAAAAAATATATCTCTTTCTTTCTAATTCGAGGCACAAAAGTGGTGATAATTTTCAATAAGCACAAAATTGTACCTTTCTATAAATTCAGACAACAAATGGATCCAAGTTAATTTTAATATGACCTTTTTCGAATGTAAGAATGGAGAGAAAAGCGAAAGTGTTCGGTATTTGCGGATTGTAATTTTGATAACCTTAAAATCATGTAAAATTTATAAAACCAACCGATTTAAGCTAACCCGGATGGGTCAATTTTCCAAAATCATTGTCATATTATCAATCTTTTTACATTGTTGCCTTTTTTATTGGAACTTATTCTTTTGTGTGAAGGAGAGATTTTAAGATTATTTTGTCCTTTTTATGTTGAGTAAGGAGGTGATGCTGAAGAAGTAGATGGTGCTGAGATTTTTGGAGATTAAAATTATGTCTCGAGGACTGCGCTTTAGGAAGTTTTTGAGGTTGTGAAGGTTTTATTGTAGTTTTATATGGAGATTTACTGTATACTTCATCTTAAGATAATTTGATGCTTGATAGAATTTTGCTCAACCAAACCACATATTTTAAACTACTTAAATCATCAAAATTTACTTTTACTGCATCAACGCGTCCTTAGTGGAATAACTCTTCAATTATCCAAGTTATTTACCAAGGTATTTTTTATAAAAATTGGCAATGTATAATTCCTTACAAAACATCAAAAGTGCCTAGCCTCAAATCATCAATAAAAATTTAATGCGCTTACTTCCTCTCGTTCTACCATATCATCAATTTATATCTAAGGAAAAAAGGTTGTGACAAAATACATATATTCAAAATTCTCTGAAAAAATAAACATAACAATGTTCACCATCATGTACATTTTACATGTATTTGTATTTACCCAAAAAAAAAAAGTCTCTTTGTGTGATATTTTCTTTGTAGAACTAAAATGAAAGAACCGAGCACCTTTTTTGACTCCTATCTTTAGCACATACAGAAGCAGGCCTTTTTTATACAATATTTAATTTAGAATGAAGATCATCAAATGTAAATTTTTTGTAAATTTAGCAATTTTTTTACTCTTTTTTCTCAAAATAGACCGGATGTGTGCTACTCCACTTAATTTTACATTATTTCCTTCTCACCAATTATGCTTGGATGTTATGTGAAGGTTTTTATCTTCATACTGTGCTCGTATCAGCATTTATATCAGAACAAAAGCTTGTTAGATGGCTTATATTGCTAGGTTGGAGCTCTCCTGCAATATTTTTAATTCTTTATGGCATTCTTCGAGGCTACGTGAGCGAGGAACATGACCGTGCATTGTAAATTATTCAAAATTATCAGGCACGATTTTTTTTTGTAATTTTTTGTGTCTCTTTTCAGCTGTTGGATGAATGAAAGTCCTTACTCGAATGTGCTTGTTGCTCCAGTGTGCTTATCGATGTTACTTAATCTCCTCTTTTTGTGTAATATTGTACGAGTGGTGTTACTTAAACTTCGGGCACCGGCTCAAATGTCAAATGGTCCTGGAAGTGGACCATCGAGGAATATTCTTCAAGCTTTTCGGTGAGTATTATTTTATTTGGGAATTTTTGAGGTTAGAAGTTTAGCTTTGAGGTAAAATTATATGTTATGGTGATCTTTAGACATACCCTGAGCTCTCTGACTGTTTTAAGTAGAGATTAGAGTCACAATGGGCTTAGTCAAGCACCTAAAAATGAGTTTGAGACCATTTTAAGTCCAACTTAATTTTTGAGTGGGGAATTTAGTGTTCAGCATGTTTTGGGGAGAGTTTAAGTTACTCAGACTCGTTAATAAATTATAGAATTACCGTAAACATAGCTAACTTTCCTTGTTAAGGTTTAGGCTCACTATAAGCTTATCTTAACATTTTAGAAAGTAAATTAAGTTATTTGAGCTTAACTTCTCCTCTAAAGATGGATTTAAAGTTGCTCTGAGCCACAGGGACGCTCTGTGTTCAAAAATATCATGTAATCTTAAAATGTCTATCCCAAAGCTCATATCAACATGTTCTATCCAATAAAGTCTTTAATATTTAAAGCTCAGTAATTGAATCCGACAAATATGAGAAAAATTACTTAATCCCCATTCGTATTTATATCTACAGCAATCAATTCAATACTCCTATGCTTTTGGATCGAATCCAACTGAGAGTAGAATTTATTCTCAAAAATCAATAGACGTAATTTAAAGGACTTTATCGCACTGTCCAATTTGCATACATTTTATGAATTATTTAAATTAAATTTTCTGATTTTTCTTCTGTTTCTTTGCCTTTATTCCTTATGTCTGTTTTAGTGCAACATTACTTCTCGTTCCGTTGCTCGGCCTTCAATATATATTAACACCATTTAGACCTGGGAAGAATCATCCGTATGAGGCGACATATGAAGGTAGTAAATATACGAATACATACAGCGATACATAATTTAAAAAGAAGCCTTTGAAATACGATGTGATATAAATTTCCGTTTCTCTTTTTTTTCATTGTTCCATGTGCAGTTATTTCTGCATTTACGGCATCATTTCAAGTGAGTAAAATAAAAAGTCATGAAAAAAAATTTTTACGGTGATGTTTGGGACTTTTATGGCGCATTTTTACAAAAACAAAATTTATGGACTTTACGTAGTATTGACAAATCTTATTTATGGAGTATTAATCAATGTCTTGAATGTTGATCGAAAGATTTCTTATTTTTTCGACATAAAAGTGTTTTCTTTTCGCTGCTCTTTCTCAAACAAAAGTCAAGCTTGCCTGCTTGACACAACGTAGTTTACAGGATACTGCTAACAGAAAAACATCCTGCTAGGAATTAAATTTTTAAAAGGACTCTGAATTACTGATGATTTATTCTTATACAGCAACTGTAATTTTATACCTTCAAACTTACAAACAATATTTAAACTTACCTGCTATATCATCCAAACAGCACCCTAAAGACCAATAAAAATTCACTTTACATCAAACTGCGATTCATGAGCATAATTAATAATGCTTTTTTCCAAATTCAAAGGAGAATTGATAAATAGTTGATATTCAAATTTAATCCCAGCATTTACTTACATCCGATTGAATTACGACTCTCAAAGCTCACATCAAAATTTCCCTTAAAAAAAGCTTTTAATATGAAACAACAGAAAAAAATTTTGCAAGTAACTTTTATAATTACAATTCTGATGAATCATTTAATGGATTTACCGCACCAGCTGTGTAGACTTAATTTACTTAAAGTTCAAGAGTCAGTTCATTTAATTAATCAGTTTAAACAATTTGAGATAACCTTTATTAGGGATTCTTTCCTGATTTTACTTTCATTATCAAGGTTCGTTCACAAATGACGTCCAGCAACAATTGAGGATTATAAAGATTTAAGATAGAATATTTTTCTTGACTTCAAGAATCTAAAGAAGCCAACAAAAACTCTACGTCCATCATATTTAACCTCATTTGTGAACAACCTCAAATATAAAAGGAAGATAACAAAGGAACGAGGAAGTGAGTTAAAAAGGGAACCGGCTGATGCACGAAACACTGTAAAAATGCGTTACATAAAAAGAAAGAAAGAAGGCATAAAAAAAAGAAAACAACAATGTTGTTTTTATGCTTATCTCCTGTAATCCCACCCATTCCATCTATTCGACCCAATCTCTCAGTTTTCATTCCTCTCTCGCTGTTCACATTAACACAAAAGTGGTGTCTCAAAACATACAGAAAAAAAGGCAGCAGCAATATAAAGAAACTTTTCATTTGTATTCGACAGGGTTTGTGCGTGGCAACATTATTCTGCTTCTGCAATGGTGAAGTTATGGCACAGGTGAAGAGACGATGGAAAATAGCTTTTTTTCGTCCTCGGGCAAACAGCTATACAGCAACACAAGTTTCGGTAAATCTCATATTATTGCTTTTTCTTCTTACTTATTCATGCAAATGGAGAATAACATTATATTTTTTGATATTGTCTTGATGATATTCTCTTTTTGCTCATGATGATGAAATTTAAGTTTTGAAAAAATATTTCCGTAGTTTTTTCTTCTTTTGTAATTTGAAATTTATTTATTTTTTTAACTTCTTTATTTCCTTTTGTAATATTTTTTTTTTCTTCTTGAACATCTTTTCCTGAAAGTTGAATAATCTTTTTTAATTATTTTCAAGGGGGTTATAACTTAAGAAAAATTGTTTAACTTTTTTTTATTATTGTGGAGGAATTGTGATTAAAATTATAGTCTGAAATGAATTTTTTTACTGAAATGAATTTTATTTTTGTTCTCGGAGGTGCTATTTAAGTGAAAAAATATTGCATGAATTTAGGCTTTGATAAAAATCATTAAAATTAAATTATTCTTTTTGCTTACTGAAGCTTTTACATTTACTGAATGAACAAGATGTTATATAGCGTATTCAGAATGATTTATAGGAGTGCCTTAATCTATTTTTTAATATTTTTTCTTACTTGATAGTTTTTTGATGAATTTTTGCGATTTAAAACAATCCAAACCATGAAGTTTTTTGAATTTTTTTTTGAAATTTATTTATCGACTTCATTGAAGCTTAATCCTGGTCTAAAACCAATGCGTGGAAACTATTCCAAATATCCCATTTGACCCAAATGAACCAAATATTTCCACAATTGTCACGTAAGAGATCTAAATTAAAATAGTCGTAGCTTAAATTCATTTGAAAAAGATAGTTTTAAAAATTTCATCTTTAAATCTAAGATTTAAAAGTTCCTGCAATTAACCTAAAAATTCCCCACGGCAATAAATATTTACAACATTTTCAAAAGTTATATCCCCTCAACCATTCATATTTTCAACTTACTTCTCTTTCATCTATTTTTATTTTACTTTTTAATGATTTTAATTTTAATTTTTCTTTTCTTTTCCTTTAGAGCTTTGTTGTCTAATGAAATTAAAACTGTATAAAGAGCAAACACAAAATTGCACAAAGTGATTTATCTTATTAGAAAGTTTCATTGTATCTATTTATTATAATTTTTTTGATACGTACCAGTAATGAAATTGAGGTATTCTTATTAAATCAAATTATTGAAACGAGTAGCTTTAAATTATTGTTGATGAAGAAATTTTTCAATTAGATTAAATTTGGTGTAGGCGCGAATGGTTATGATGGAAGTTGGTGGATGTAGGATGAAAAAAAATTGAATCAATGGTAATTTTAAGTGAAATGGATATGGTTCAGAAATCAAAGGAAATGTTTTTTTAAACGAATAATTATACTGAAGGGATGGGGATGAGTTTGGGCATCTGGAATAAAAAATTCAAGTTATTTTAAAAATATGCTTTTTTATGTGAAATTAAAATTGTAGTTGTAAACATTGCCAATCAAAAAATTAAAATTTCAAACCCTTATCCTTAGATTCAGGGGCGTAGGCAGAAATTTTTTGAAAGAGGGGGGTGGGGGGGTGAGGGAATGGGCTTTCAAAAATTAAATTTCAAAAGTTTCATGAGTTTTAATTTTGAGATAGGACTCGCCTTGTTTAGACTTAATCACAGTCATTTGAATACAAAAGTTGGGATAAATGCACTAAAATTTACCAGAAAACCACGCTGCAAACATCCATCAACACAAATCATTCAGTTCAGCGAATGCCTCAATTAAAAAGTATTTTATCATTATTATTTTCCTTTAGTAATTTAATCCTTCAACATACTTCAAATGAGAACATAATGGTAATAAATTATACGCTTAATATTATTTTTATTGTGAATCTATACATTGTAGAACAAATAAATGTTAATATGTGGTCTCATAAAAGTGAATTATATTAAAAATTATCTACTGTAATGATAATAAATTATAAGTTTAAAATACTATTTTACTATTAATTGGAGCATGAGTGTAGGTAAAAATATTCTAAGGAAGGGCTCAAAAAAATTGAATTTTGAAAATTCGACATTGCTTGAAAATTGAAAAGGCTTTCAAATTACTATTATAGCTTGATTGGTTTGAAACTCAGTGTCAGTTTTAGCAAGCGGGCTTGAGCCTGGCTACTACCCTGCAATGAAATTAATAGGCATAGAATTTTCTAATTAATATATTTTCATAATTTTGTATGCATTTTTTGGGTTGAAAATATATTTTAATTATTAATTAAACTATTGTTTTGGATACTTGCCACTGTTTTTTAGCACAATCTGCAAAAATAATCCAAGTTGAGGTTTTAATTTATATTTTATTGCAAAAATAATTTTTGAAGTGGAAAAAAATTAAATTGGCGGGAACTCAACAATTCTTAAATTTCAAAAAGCCGTTAGATTTTATCAAATAAAAGGATTTAAAATTCAATATTTTTTGAATACACATTTTCTTTTGAATTATTCATGAAATTTAACTTACTGAATTATTTTTTGCTAGTCATCTGCTCCAAATTCAATTCAGCACATGAAACTCATAAAATGTTCAATATTAAAAATCATAAAATCAATTTCATCTAGAAATTTCAAATAAAATATTTCTTAATAGCATCCTATTTTCATCATTTGATCAACTCATATGCAGACGTTTGCCATCTCCACATATCGCACGTATCACTAGCAATTTAAATCTGATAATAATCAATTTAAAGAGCACACCTTGCAGTCTCCACTTTCTGTTCCATAAATAAATATCATAAGTGAATTTAAAACTTTTTCCAACAAGTGCTTAACATCCATTTCACTCATAAAATTCTCTCATTAAATATTTACTTGAGAACTAACATAAACTTTCATTTCTGCTTTCATTAAAAAAAAAAAAATCTAATGTTTCATTCAACAAGCAAAAAATAATAAAACTCAATTCAAGTTTTTCTTTCATTTTCTGGTTTATTTTATTCAAAAAATAATTTTTATAAACTGTTGTGGACAGTTGAAAGATGGGATTATATATATATCTCTGGGATACGTTATGATGAACAATTGAATTATTGTTGGAAATTGTGAATTGTTTGAAATGCTTTATAATTGAGAATTTTTTTAAAAGATCACATATTGATGTTACTAGTATTATTCTATTTGAAAAATTGTTATGACAGCTTGAAAAGTTTTTCTTTTATTTCAAATGCAGAGATTTTTTACTTTTATTTTTCATATTATAAAGTGCTTTTTAAAATTTAAATATTGAATTACATTGAAGCTATTTTGCTTTGTTGAATTGTTCTTTGCATTCTTTTAAAATTATTTCACTATATTTTCATGAATTTTAGTCAGTTTAAAGTTTTTAACTAGGAATTAAAATTTTAACAGTTAAATCAAATTCAAATTTTATCTCCTCAACATAGTTCCATACCCTTGTTTACTATTTCAGAATTTTTCTCTTATTTCAAAATTCTTTCAGTAAACAACAACTAAAACTACTTTAATTTAATTATTAGACCAATATTTTGCTGTATAATAAAGTAACAACAAATAAAACTAATAAAATAAGCATAAATCTCTCAATTTACTGTAAGATACAGTTGTGTATAGTAAATAAATTACTAAATTCAATTAGTTATTTAAGAACAATAAAAAAGCAGGATTTAAATAACGATAAAATCTTTATCGGCATTATCCTCATAGGAATGCACAATGTACCAACATTTGCACATTGTATAGATTGCAAAAAGTTACTTCATCTTCATGAATTTTGTATGATTTATGCCACACACAAAGCACAAAATAATTATAATGTAAATATTATGTACATTTATGATTTATTTTGTTTTTACCTTCTATCCAAAAACCTATTCATTATTTTGTAGTTTACAATAAAGCTTAATTTTGTTAATAATTCAGCCGGTACGATTGCAGTTTGTTAGACATGGACCACATGCGGCTGGAGAGGATAAAGTATGACAGAAGAATCGCTCTAATAAGGGTAATAATCATGAGATGCACATCTGTATAAATGACGATGTAGAGCAACTATGGGCTAGTGAGAATATTGACATGAAAGTCTTTAACGAACGCACCAATACAGTGTCGACGACCACAACATTAAATAGCAAATATGATCCAATGACATCACTTGCAACATCACCGACACCCTCATTTAACATGGAAAATGGCGCAAAGTCAGCGATAAATTCAAATTTAGTTAATAAATTATGTAAAAGTGATAAACTCATTACCTGAATTAATTTAATATAGTTGAACAATTATTTCAAATCCATAGAGAGATTCTTATATATTATATTTACACACACAGATTATCTACAAAATGCTTAAATCAAATAGAATTATTTATTTTTCATACTTTAAGTGAGTACAATACTAATTTAATAAAACTATTTAAGAAACACAAAATGTATAATTATTTTTAAAATCTTTTCTACAAGAGCTTTTTATTGTATTGTTGACATTCATATTGATTAAGGCATGGGCGTTATTCAAGAGTTTTGTGGACCGAGTCGATGACATAAAAAGTAGAACCATTTAACTAGAAAATTTCGGGAATTCCATAATAGACAGTATAAAAATACATGAATTGATCTACACAATTTAACCTTAATTACGCTGAGATTGTTCAGTTAATAAAATATTTATGCTCCAATTTTCACTTGACTGAATATTTTATTGCAATTAGACTCCCAGGCATCATTACGCCAACAAAATTTTATTGTTTACTTTTACCTTTCCTTCATCTTTGATTAAAAATTTAAATTTTCGAGCATAGCAGCAAAATTCTTGATTAAGACGCAATTCTTTATGTGCCCACGCCTTGATCATAATTTTATTAAGCATAAATAAGTGAATTGATATTATTTCTCGTGAAAAATTTCTATTGTAAATAAGTAGAATTATTTTTGTATAAAAAAACTAGAACAGTTGGCAGTTTATAAAAGAAATATCTTTTTCATCATAACTAAGTTCATAAATTTACGACATGCGGTTTACGACATTTTAATACAAATGACATGAGCTTCTATTTACTCTCAAGTGTAAAGTCTCCTCGGTAGCCATAAATTTATTTTTATCCTTTTACAAAATGTAGAAAAAAAGTTTCTCTAATTTTCAATTCTGTAGTCATACACACAGCTTTATGTACTCTAAACATAATGAAACTTTTCAGCTTGAGTTTTGCTTTTATTTTTATTTTTTTTTGAAAACGAGAAAAAGAGAATAATAAATTTACACCAAAGCTTTTTTCTCTCCAAGAAAAAAAATATAGAATCAAATCCGAGCTGCATAGAGCTTAATGAATGGAATTCATTAGTCGTTGTAAAGCTCGAAGGAGACACAGCTGTTATGTGAAAACCATATTGAAAAGTCAAGTTGATTTAACCACAAAAAAAAAACTCTTCACTATTTAGATCCATTCTAGATCCAAAGGTGCAGCTAATGGGAGTTTAACGAGTAAGGATGCGATAAACTACTGCACTAAAACTAAGGCCTACAGTTTAAAGTGGGAACCGAACCACTCCTTTGATGACATTGATCCCTTTAGAAAACTGTGAACTTTATTTCCAGTACTTATGATTCGAAAAAGGACAAGCCAAAATTGCCTGGTCTCGAAATCATGATGGTTCTGTCGGTTTTGAAGTAATTAAGTACGGTAGTACTAAACTATTCCGTTTCGAGACAATTCAGTTCACTAGAAGCTTTGTTATCTGGAGATCTGAGACTGATTGGGTATAGCTAGGAGATCAAATGAGGTTTTAAGAACTACTCTCTACCCTAGAAAAGTTTAAAAAATGCCTTTGACACGAGAAACAAATTGAAAGTTTAAATATTTTCAGTATGTTAATTAGCCACTCTCTTAAGTTTAACTCGATTGACCCATAAGATTCCATTGCTTAAGTAATAAAAATCTCGGTTAAATTCAACTTCATGTTTACCACCTAGAAATTAAACAAAAATGTAAAGAATACATTGCTATATGATACTTTATTCTGTTATTCTGGCTTCATTATGATCCATTTAGTTTAAGTAACGCCTGTGAGTAAAGCAAAGAAAGCCCTTAAACTCTGCAAATATTTTAACAAGTCAAAAAATGTTTGTGCTTAATTTTTTTTTTGCTGCAAATATTTAACAATGAAATCTTTTCCTTTCTTGTTCACATGCAATTAATGTTGTGCCAAAATGAGAAGAAGAATTCTACCATTCTTCTTGTTTAATTTGGACGGATTTAAATTTATTTTTGTTGATTTTTTGATGGGAAAAGGCTTTAATATTATGGATTATTAGCTTGAATATTTTGAAAATTCAAGAAAATTCGATGGAATTTCACTAAAGATATCCATCAAAACCGAAAGCAGAGCTGCAAGTCAATTTTTTCTCATCGTTTTCTCAAAAATAATATTCAATTATACATTCAGATTCTACTTCCAAGGTCAAAAGTATCAATTTCTTGAACGCCTTCATCTGAACAGAACAAAAAGTCTTGAAAAATAAATTTTTCAGATCTATATCAATTGATATTGATATGTTATTAACTATAGATTTTCATTCAATTTCATTGTTATAGCCTGAAAGATTCAATATGTAAGCCCATTATGAAGTAAAGAAATCAAAATTTGAAATTCAATATTAATGCAAACTACAATTGATTTAAAAGCAGTTTTCATTCGTCTTGTTAATGGATTTGGATCAAGATTGTATTCAGTATCTTTTAAGAAAACTGAGCAAGAACTCAACATTAAATAAATCAAATCAATTCAAATTAAAAAACAAAGAATTAATGAAATTTATGCTTAATATTTTGACCTTTTCAGCAAACGGATTTGATAATGATAATTTTCTTCATTTTCTCTTTTTCAATTATTCTTCATGATAGCAAGAAATAATAAATGGATCATTTTGAAGAATGAAAAGTATTTAATTTCTTAACATTAATTTTAATGATTGCAATCCGAATTGATCATCAGATTTTGAAATTCTGAATGTTTCTTTTTTTTCGAGAAATTAAAGCTGTTTTAAAGCTTTGACTCTAAATTATATTTTCAAAATAAATCTTTGACCTTACGCAACTTTTTTTTGGTCCTTCAATTTTAATAATTTCAATATTTTACAATATTTTATTTATGAAATAAACCAGAAAGTTTACCTACAAAAATTCATGTTTTTTCTGGGTCTACCTCATTAATTTTTCACTTCCAAGAAAGAAAAGAAGTCCTCTGCTAACTGCTTGGAATGTTTGATCAGAAAGTTGATTTTATGAATATATTTTCTCAATGAATAATTAATAAGCTCCTAATTATGCTTAAAACTTTCATAAATAACCAGAAATTATAATCAACATTGTGAATAATAAATGGGAAACAAAAGCTTCATTGATTACGTTCAATTACATCCAATAAACATCCGTTTTGATGAGAATTGATGACTTTTATGTTATCGGCAATCAGAAAATTTGTCAAATCATCCAAATGTAAAAATGAGTTTGTGTCATTTGCATCATCAGCATGACATTGACTTAATCATGTCTGTGAACAATTACGATTACATCGAAGAAGTCTGTTGAGAGATAAACAAGAAGAATTTTACCACAACTCCGAAGAAGACATACAAGAGCAGCTTGTATTTCACTTTTTGGTGCTTTTTTCGAGTAAATTAGAAATAGACTAGTAAAGAATGGAATATTTAAGAGATAATTTATACAAAAATAATGAAAAATATTTTGAAGAAAATTTTAAAAAATGGAAACAAAAATAAGTGGAGGGTGGGGGTGGGAGGGGTGTGTTATCTTGAAAAAAATTTTTAAAAAAAATTACACAATTTGTAATTTTAAATTAAATTAATTTTTTGAAAAAAGGTTTGATGAAGCCAAGATGAAGTGAAACTTTAATAAAATTCAAAATACAAAAAAAAATAAAATTTCACAAAAAAATTTATAAAGTCTCACAATTTTCAAAATAAGAGTCCCCGATCCATCCACCTACCACCACCGACCGAAAAAAACAAAAAAATTATGTAGAAAAAAGAATAAAATCATCATGTTAAAATGAAATTCAATAATCAAATGAGAAAATTAAATATAATTAAATTAAGTAAGTGACTGTGCTTTACTGATGATGTTTTAATATAGGGAATCGATAATGATAATGAGGAAAATTGTTACTGAAGCACTTTTATTTATTGAATAAAAGAGAAAAAGAATAAAAAAATTTGGATTAAAATTGAATTTGTTTGTGTTTTGTTTTTGTTGTTAAGGAACTTTTTTGTTTTGATCTTTTGTGTAATTTAAACTTTCTTTTGATTTCAAATTTGAGAAGTATCAAAGCTTTAATTTCTTATTAAATCAAGCGATTTTTTGCTATTTCTAAAAAACATCGCTTGGTTTTTTGATAAATTAGAAAACTATAACATTTTCATGAATATTCTTTGTAATTTTTCAGATTAGGAAATTAAAGAAAATGGAGCTAAAAAGAGAAATAACACTGTAGCTGACAGCACTAGTAATATTTATCATGATTTGCGTAGATTTGGACTTGAAATATAAATTATAATACAACTTAAAATTCTTAACTAAAGAAATCATTATTTAAAACCTTTAATTTTCATAAATCCTCATAAATCAACACTTAAATCTTCCAAAACATCACGTTAAAAGAAATCATATATTTCCAAAAATTACTGGATTTAAAAACGTAAACAACTCAATACCACAGAAAAGGAAGTCGGTGTACATTGTAATAAAATCCACAAACTTCCTCCTTAATTCATATAATTTTGACCAAACAGAATCAAAATACATTTTTAACAATGTATATTTCATAAATAAATTCAACCTATTTTGTTCAGTTAATGCTTCTGTTATTATACCAATCAATCACGAAGTAATCATTCAATGAAAGCTTTAAAAATATTTGTAAGAAGGAGAGTAAAAATAGACGACAAAAAATGAAGAGGAATTGTTTGTGTAATGTGAAATATTATCAAAGATCTAATAATATTTGCTAATGATGACAAAGAGAAATGAATTTGTTTTAAATTCAAAAGCAGAGTTGTAAAATCCAATAATTGCTATTGTTTTAAATTTGATTGAAATATTTCAAAATGTTTAAACAGAAATCGAATTGTTGATAGGATTAAGGTACTACTTGGTAAGATTTTACATTATTAGCAAAAGATTTATTCAAAGATGAAGGTTTGAAGGTCAATTCCTCGAAAATTCAATGACTAGATCCATTTTGAAAGCTTTAAACTAATCATAAAAATTAAATCAAAAATGACAACTCTGAAATGTCATTATAAATGCTTCAGGCAAACCATATTAAATTGATGACATAAGAAAAACGTTGAAAAATTGAAGACAGTATAATTT